CACAACTGTAGCTGTATAACTTTACAACAGAAACACTGCTTTAACAAAAAAGCAAAACAACAAGGCTTATTTGACATCAAAACAAAAATTTTAAAAATGCCGTCTAATCGCTCTCGTGGTACTTGTGTTTTATTAGGAAAAATCACCCACTGACTTTCAAAGCTGCTATAATATACGGCCCTCAGACAGAACAGGCAGGTTGTCGATGAGTGACAGAGCAGAATAAGAATGGAGCATGGAGCAAAGTGTGGCTGCGCTGTCCTTGAAGGACGTTTAACTCGGTTTTGGTTATATTTTGCTTAGCCTATCATTTTAAATGACAGATGTCGTCAGAGGCACGTGCCCCCTCAGATATATAAACTCAGTCGTATTAAAAATATGTTATGGCATGACACCCATAGCTGTTAATTAAGTAAACAGACAGGTTTTTATGCATAGTTAATAGATTACATTATTAGGTTACTTTGACCATCGCCCACTATAGATCAACATCTATAAAGGTGAGAATCAAGATATTTCATGATAATTAAGTTAATGCTTTTGGGAATGTTTCGAATAAAAAAAAAAAAAATTTAAACATAAGTGCTGTTGTGGCTGCTGTGTGTCACATGGCGACTCTTGACAAGACAAATTATATAAATACAATTTTGTGCAGACTACACTTTTATTTGTCAGCCTATCTCTCTTTCTTTCAGTAGCGGAAATTTAAATGTGAGATTCTGGAAACGATATCTAAATTTAGCGGGAAAGGTCGGGTCGGGAAGAAAATTATTCTAAGCAGACAGCGGGCGAACAAAGAGTGAATATATAGCGGGAGCGAGTGGGTGCGGAATATAACCTTGCGGGAGTGGGACTAAAAAAACAGTCCCGCACAGACCTCTACGTTACTCCACTCTGCAGTGCATGGTTACGTAAACCTGGTGTCGTGTGGCTGCTTGCACTGGGCAAAGCTCTGCTGGGTTTCCTTTGGGAGAATTATTGCAGCATATTAGTATGTAGCAAATTTCATAACAAAGAACAGGACAGAGATTTTTGAATATTGGGAGTAGCTGTTTACTTTTGCCTGCAAATATTATGTTGTTTCATAGAAACCCAGATGGTTACGGTGCTTCCCTGCTTTTCAGATGGGAGGTATGTTTGTGGGTGGGTGTTTTCACAGATGTCATTATAAGGAGTTACATAAACTCTGCAAGATACAACGGCATGGGCAGTGCTTGCGCAGTCAATAACTGACTTCCACAACACACTGCCAATGGAAATTATTAGATATCTGTCTCCACATTCCTAACCTGAGCCCATACTAGTATTTGGAAATTCATAATTGTTCAAACTTGAAAATAGATTCTAACCCTGAGCCAACGATACCTCAGACTGCGCAGCTTGTTGAAAGCTATTGCTTTTCAGAGAATCAGACCTACGGTTTTCACCTGGCAGATGATAAAATGGTCAAAAAATAAAAAATCCTACTGATGCACATTGAAGGAAGTACCCGGCCTGTATCAGGAGAGCAGAATATCATGCACACTTGGCAGTGGGCCTTTTTTTGTTGTAGTCAAGACCAACTCAACTTCACAGTTGAGTTCAAGACCTTATTTTCATGCCCTTGGTCCTCAAGGCCAAATCCCAGACCACATTTTTTTGTGGTCTTGGTCCTCGTGTCCAAATCCAAGACCATATTTTCTTGGTCCTTTAGTCCATGTGCAAGACCATATTTTCATAGTCTCGACCCTCTTCTGGTCTCGGTCTTGATTCGGGCTCGACCCTCCTCTACTCTTTGCCTTGTGGATTGTGATAGTCTTGTAAGCATCAGTAAGAATGTGTTTGTAGTTTTCATCCAATCAGTATTGTTTTGTATTGTATGTCAATTTTTTTCCATCAAAAGTGTGGTTATGAATTTATGGAGTTACATTATAGCGCTATAAAAAAATTACTTTTGTTAAAAAAAAAAAAAAAGGTTAAGTAAACCCTACTGCAAAACATTTAATATGAATATACATATTTCTAGTAAATATAAAAATACATGGTTAACAAAAAAAAAAAAAGTAAATATTTTTTTGTGATGAGGAAAATGAAGATGTTGGCAAGGCAAGTAAACAAGTTCAGCCAGCTGAAAAAAATCAGTTCTACAAAAACATACGTACTGTCTAATTTTGTCATTTTGGCCTCCAAATCTTGGTCCTGTTGGTCCTCTCCTGCAAAAAAAAAAATTTTAGTAACCAAACAGACTGTCATAAACAGCTTTACTAGGAAAGCTGCGTGCAAACAAAAATGTATGCTTAAAGACCAGTTTATTTGTCAATGCATGGATGATTATGCAAAACTACAGGCTTACAGGAAAAAGTCCTCCTCTTCGTCCGAGTCTTCCTCTAGAAGGTTTCTCTGCAAGTTAAGAAGATAAGGCTGTCAGGGTGGTCAGAACTGGTGCAGGTTGGGTTTAATCTAAAATTCCTTCTGAACTGAGACCAGGTGTTTGATATAACAGTGGCCAGACTGAGACTCATAAAGATCTTATTGTGAAGTATAATGTCGTCTGCCAGATGTGAAGGACAACAACACTTTGAAGGGCACAATGTGGGCACAGCGTGTGACGCAGTATTCCCCGGAATGGAATTCACCTGGAGATAAACCCATTCAGAACACAAACTCCTACAAGGAGACACTGCTGCTCCACAAGAGATATGAACTCCATTTGATCTGCATTTGTGCCATCTGATCTTTTAAACAATGAATCACAGATCAGGAGGCATTTCAACATGACTAATGTTATATAATTCTCCATAACTGCATCCAGATCTGTGACACTCCTCTAAAACTCCATCTGGACAATTTCATGCTATTGTCAACCTTACCACGGAAAAATTAAATGTTTATCAAAAGAAAAAAAGAATGCTCAAATAAACTGAACATTTTACTGAATTAAAAAGCTATACATTTAAAGGGAAAAGCATTGTTTTTAACGACTCCAACAATCAATGAGTCTTGTGATGTTTGTGCATGATGATGTTAAAATTGTGACCTTCAAGCTAAAATGCATTTATAGCCAATGTTTTGAAAGGGAATGTGCTTTAAAAAGTAATGAAGTTCGATATCTACATCTAAAATGTATTATCCTACAGATTTAGTTCAACTACTAATTTATTACAAATGAGTCAGATTCATTACAAAAGGGATTGGGAGTGATTTGTGACATAGACTATATGGACATCTATCTTATTTCTACTCATACAATATGGTTAAAAAAACAAAAACAATCATTTGATCATTTAGACAAACAACTGGAACTGAAATAAGATGAGCATTTACCATTTCATTTTGCTGCCCAATATCTATGGGTAATTAATGAGACTTACCAATGTCTCAGAGTGGTGCAAAGTCTAGTAGTTTCAAAGCATTTTAGGATTGTTTATCATCGTCATATATATATATATATATATATATATATATATATATGTTTTAGGAACTAACATTTATGGGTCTGGACTCTGTCTGCTGGGTTTTAGGAAGATTCATATAAGTGATTCAGTTTAAAGAAAACGAGTTCCTGACTTTAGATTTCATGTTGTGACTTCAAGTAACCCTGCAACTGCTCATTTCCAATTGGCCCTTTACTAGGGGATATTTCAACACAAGAACCAGGTCTTTTCATGAGTCACGGTCAACAGTGTTACATAAACGGCACGTGGAAAGCCACATTCATATTTACTCTATTACACATTCTAGTTCTCTCACTGCTGCTGAGTTCAAGCTTCGATGTGAGGCAAATTAGAAGAGACTTTTCCTTGGATGTGCTAACGTCTGAACCATCCAACAGTTTCTCCCAAACATACATCAGTCGGGAGTGGTACCCAAGTGAAAAACATGAGGTTACCATATTCTGGTATTAACCTAGCTAATGTCTGGCAGGGTTTTAATGACTCTCTAGGACTGGCAGAAGATAGAGACATTGAATGTAAATTATGAGATCGGTACTGACAGATTCTTGGGAAGCGCTCTGCTAGTTTATTACCCCCTGCGTGAGCTAATGCCTGTTACATCAAGACATTAGTCTTCACTTTCAAATGGACTTTTCTGTTCTTTTCCATTCACTGCCTGGTTTTGTTATTCAAAAACAGATTTATTGTTAATTATTCTAATATGCTGATTTGGTTCTTGAGAAACATTTCTTATTTTTTTTACCAATGTTAAAAAGAGTTGTAATGCTTAATATTTTTGTGGAAACCATAATACATTTTTGCAGGATTATTCGATGAACAGAAAGCAAAAAAAATTGTATTTATATTTATTATTAACATTATAAATGTCTTTACTGTCACTTTTGATCAACTGAATGCATCCTTGCTGAATAAAAGTATCAATTTCTTGAAAAAAAAAAAAAATCTAAATGAAAAAATGACAATCTAAATGATTTTACCCAATGGACAGTAAAACAGCCAAAAAAATCCATTACCTTACAATGAAGGAGAGACCCCACCACCTTCAAAACCTTAGCATTGCAGAAGTGACTTATGCATGGGTGAAAAACACTCTTTTTTTCATTTAAAGAATCTAGTTTACATATTATGTCTGTTTATTTCTGCAAAATCATGTTTATTTTAGTTTTTCAGTGTATATTTTTCTCTCCATCTGTTTAATTTCTTATCCACCTCAGTTTATCCACTGCTATTATGACGTATGGTAACTGTTTGTCGTTATTAAGAACAAATTGCTCTCTGAAGGGTTGTGCAACACAAGAGTTGAAATGTGGTGTGTGAGTGTTTGTAATAACATGAACACTGCTGTTTTAGATGGGCTGTTATATAAAGGATTTTTTTTTTTGTGGTCTGCAGACACTAAGGAACATGAGGAGAGAGCGGTTTACTCTTCCTGTAAACAACAAACAGATCATTGGCCACAATGGCCTTGTAAAAGTGCAGAAACATGCAAGTCTGGCTCTAGTCAGCTAAGAGCATCTTTAGACCTCTCATCTCCATGTTGTCATCACCTCCAGGTAATCTATATGGTAAGAACTGACTCACTGTTACTTCAGTGACTTACCCGCTCACTGCGAATGGAACCAGTGACCTCTTCATCATTCAGATGCCGTTTAAATTTAGGGGGCATGCTGGGGTCGAGCTGCTCCTCCCTCTCTGGCTCCCTCTGCAGGCAAACACAAGAAACACAGCAGTGATTGAACAGATTTCTTAGATCTCTTTCTTCACCTATAATAAAATAATAGCAATCTGTGAATAATTACAATTCAACTGTGGTCACAGGTGTGAGTTTAGCAGAGATCCAATCAGATTTTAGAGTTGGAACTATCTGTTCTTTAAGTGTTAATTTAGACCAGACTGTGACGTAAGAGAAAGCTCAACTATAATGACCACATATCTGAGCTGGGTCTGTTAGCCGGTTCATTAGACTGAACTTTAGGCCATAAAAGCTGCACTACTTTTAAGTAAATCCAGCCATAATTCAGACTTGGGGAGAGACCACCCCATTATATTTAACTTGTTTGGTCATGGGGATCACTCTAGACACACCAATTGTAATGTGCTGCTTGCAAACATCAAACAAAGCAGTTAAAGACAAGCTCTAGTAATTGATGTGAAAGTCATAACGTCCCTCTATGCGTATTTGCTTTATATTCACACAGCAGTTCATTTCTGGTTAAACCATTTGGCCATTCTTTTACAAACCCGTAGCCTATAGCTTTGAAGTCACAGCAGGTTTTCATCTTAAAACTACCAGACATACAAGCTTAAACTTTACCTATGGAATAACAATGACAGATTCTCATACAGACCCTCTACTGAACAGTTTCTGAGCACAAGAGTGCACAGCTAGACTCAGGACAGGTGATAGGAAAGTCATTTTGTAACTGTAGCTTGCCAAATTCTACATTTATGTAACTTAAAAAAAAACATAATAATAACAGCAATATTCACCTAGATACTTATGTGCTACGAAAAAGACTTCTAGGAAAACTATAGAGCGGTGCAGTGATTACAGATATTTGTAGGCCAACCTGAAAGTTAGCATCACCCTGTTTGCCTCGACAAAAAGCCATTGGTCATTTTCCACTGGCTTTTGATTCACTGCAGAAAATAAGCTCTGTAACAAAAAAAAGTGTATGATTCTTACATGTTTCTTTCATCAAGATTTTCTCAGCTTCACAAATGAACATAGTTTTTATGAATTTTTAAGCCTAAATACAATCGGCAGAAGTAAAAAGCTAGCATTAGGCTATAAATGTACTACATCATGGTCGCATGACTTCAGCATCACTACCATTTAGCTTCCTCTTTCAGTCTTTATTTAAAATCAACAAGTTGGAAAGTTGGAGTTAGAAAAGTCAAGAGCATGAGTATAAATACAATTAGGCTGAAAAAGGGAAGTGGTGAGTAGATCAGTTTTGTTGAGCACAGTTATGACACTGTCCCACTGCCCCTCTGTAGTCCCAATTAATGCTGCAATTCACTACAAGACTTTTAAAATCTGAACAGATTTTAAAACACTGGGCATCATACACTAAACGACTGAGGATCACAACAAACTCATGCAGAAACGTGCACCTTGTTGCTAGGAGACGCGTGACAAATGAAAATGCGTGTTCTAAAATCGGCTCAAAAATATCAAACATGTTTGAAATCCTCAGACTGAATGGAATCAAAGTCTGAAGCTGAAAAATGGGAGTCTGTGACCATCATACACTATGTGATTTTCTATGAAATCTGTCAACTCAGATCTCTAGACTGGCTCTGACTTTCTGACTTCTGCAGAAAATCGGGGCAAAAATCGTGTAGTGTATTCCAGCCTTTAGAAACTTATTCAAGACATTTTTTTAAATATAAAATCTCAATTGCTCAAAAACTCAAGTGCAATTGCTGATGTATTTTATGTTGTAGACTAAAAAGTGAAAATATCTCGAGCTTTTGTTCAACATAGACCTTATTTCAGGTATTTCACCAAAAACGTATAGCACATAAGTTTAAAAAAAAAACAACAACAAACAAACAAACAAAAAAACACTGACTTTGGGACAGTGGAACCGGAACTCATTTCCGGGTTTTAGGACTCATTCAGACCTCTCATCACTACTTGAGCCAGGGCATTCTAGAAGTGAGTGCATTTGACTAATGCACATCACAATGTGACATAACACTGAAGCAGTGTTGTCACGCTACTCTGATTAGGAAATACTAGCTTGTAACTTGAAAAGCTACACGATTTTAACAGCCGAGCTACTGTCACACTACTGAAAAATGTTATTAGGTTGAAGTTAAATGTTGTATTTTAACTAAATAATGAATTAATTAGTAAAAAAAAAAAAAATGCATTTGTGAATTCTTGCTATTCTTGAGAAATATGATCTATTCTCTTCTTTAACAGGCAAAACAAAGCTGTTTACTTCCTCTACCCACTGGACAACACACTCAACCCAATCTCCATGTCTAGTACCATTGAGTCCACTGTCCTCTCTCTGAGACTCCTTTATCCAGGAGCACGGCAGAGCTTTCCCGAAAGCAGGAGAAGGGGAAAGAGGGGCTTGGGACAGGAAATGAGAGGGAGGGAAGAGAAGGACACACGGGGTTTGAGAGAAAGAGCATAAAAAGGTAAACAAAAGAAGAGAAAGAATCTAACCATCATCCACTGAAACCACTCAGATAGATTTACTTTTTTACCTTAAGTTCATTTTTGTGTAAGAACAATCAATTAGGCCTAAAAGTGTAGGTTAGCCATAGTAATAGTGTCTTAAAGACGTCACCCAAATGTCATTTAGCCAACCTCCAAACTCTTAATGTGCAACATATGACAGTTTTGTGTGAGCAACAGACATAACTTTAAATTTTCCTGCAATTTTTACTTCTTAAATTTCACTTGCACTTCCCAGTATCTAACCGTGGTGTGTCTCAGTCAGGGACGCTGGAGAAACAGTGGTATTATGTAAGTGATGGTATGATGTGTGATTTTTAGAAAAGTGTGACACATCATCATGCAACCCTGGGAAGATTTTCAGCGAATATACTGGCATTAATTTCAGCCTGCTTCTCACGCAAAAACACTGTGCATATGTATTATATATATTTTTTATATTTTTTTATTTTATTAAAGATACATAATTAAAACAATATGGAAATTAACAGAAATTAAAAAAAGAAAAGAAAAAAAAAGTGCAGTAGTGCAATGATTGAACAAATGGCTGGAAGGAAGGATGGGCAGAAGGATGGAAGGATGGATGAATGCATGGGAGCACATTTTCAGGTGTATGAAACAGAGTTGGGACTGAGACGAAAACTGAAAGCAGAAATCTGGCCCTATAGTTGCCAATACAAACCACCAAACCCACAATGAACATTTTGATTGCAAAATGTTTACAGACTTCACACGTGATCACACTGATTAAACCCTCACATGCCTCACATCTTTACGGAAAAGATTCAAAATAATGGACAACTCGCAAACAATACTAACAGGTTAGGCATCATTCCAGTGCCACCACTAAACGGTTTAGAAACACACAGGTCAGGGAACGGCTAACAGAAACACAACGGCTAACAGAAACACATGACAGGATTTACATCATTCAGGAAATAAGACAGCCTTGACTTTCCATCAACAACTGTGGATTAATCAAAGACTAATTGAATAATTGAGTGTAAACCAATGACACACATAATCACTGATCATAAGAGACAGTGAAACTGAAACTGAACAGAATCAACATTCACTCAGTGAGCAATAAAAGACTGGAAAAACAACAGAATTCCTTCCTCTCTTCATTCATTCATTCGTTCTTCAGAAATACACTGATTTTACCAGACTTTTTAGTGTAGATCGCGCTATAATGTGTATATGAA